ATTTTTCTCCTTTGATGAGATGTCATAATGAGTTCTGTGCTTTTGTTCTTTTGAAGGTCCTTTGTCTGTGGGATGCAAGGATCTGTTTCGTATCTGCGCATTGTAACTTCTGACGTCCGTGTTTGAAGCCTTGCCTGAGGGGAGGAGTACAACAGATGCAACAAAGTTTATATCGAACTAAAAGTCGATATGTATGGTTTCACCATGTTATTAACACTGATAACATTAATCGTAGTCGTCCCACATCCGGTGTGGAGCGACGATGCACTACCAAAGATCACTGCAGCCGAGTGCATCGGCGTTCAAAGGGTCATAGTGCGAGGTTGAACAAGGAATACGCGTGTCCTCCGTACAAGGGCATGGAATTCGGCCAATGAGAAGCGCTAATTCCAGAGCGTCCTTAGAGATTCCATAAAAGGTGCGAGATTATTGTCTCGGGGCAGTCGTTGCAGGTGGAGCCTGAGTCGATCGTGGCCCTAATGTGGATATTCTTCGTGGTAATCTGCAGCTGGGGTGAGTAAGACAAGTGCCAAGGAGCTGGTTCTGGTTCGGACATCGCATCTCTAAAATTTGTGCAATTACGTTGGTAGCATAGCAAATGGTGTTTGATTGAAAGGTAAGGAGTGCGACTCCCGTCCTGGCGAGAGGGTTGACCGGTGGCATAACGATGGGCAAAAACAGTTTATGGGTTTAAATGGGGGGCCGAATCTATGGGAGATAGGAGTTGAAGGAGACTGGATTTTGTTGGCCCAGGACAGGGACCGGTGGAGGGCTTTGGTTAATTCGGTGATGAACCTTCGGGTTCGGTATGCCATCTGGTTGGTTGGGTCCAGTATTTGGGAAGCCTGAGGGGGAAAAGACCTCTGGGGAGACCTAGACGTAGATGGGACGATAATCTCAGGCGGGATCTATGGGAGATAGGAGTTGAAGGAGAGTGGATTTTGTTGGCCCAGGACAGGGTCCGGTGGAGGGCTTTGATTAATTCGGTGATGAACCTTCGGGTTCACTAAGCCATCTGGTTGGTTGGGTCCACTATTTGGGAAGCCTGAGGGGAAGAGACCTCTGGGGAGACCTAGACGTAGATGGGAGGATAATCTCAGGCGGGATCTGTGGGAGATAGGAGTTGAAGGAGACTGGATTTTGTTGGCCCAGGACAGGGTCCGGTGGAGGGCTTTGGTTAATTCGGTGATGAACCTTCGGGTTCGGTAAGCCATCTAGTTGGTTAGTTAATGTTGAAGTGTTGTGTTTTCTTTGCGGTACGGATTGAGTTCTTGTATGTTATCTAGATGCCCTTCTGACGTTATAAATCGCTCTTGCATGCAGATGATCGTTTTGTCTTCGTTGTATTCATGTCTCCTATGCATTTTGCAGTGTAAGAGCATTAGGAGCACGTGCAGTGGTTTAAAAGGCTGTACACTCCCAACAGGAAACAAAATCAGGTACGCATGTACTAACACAAAGAAGACTCCCCTTGAACTCCGACCTTCTGACACGCCTCCGTGATCTTTAATTCTTTGGCGAAGAATTGCAGATGACCCCGTCTTGCACGGAAAATAGCCACAAAGTAACAGAAATTACGAGCAGCCCCTGAATCTATTTTATTCTATTATTTCGGTTTTCGTCAATAACCGTGATACCTAAAGTTGATACAGCGTTATCAAATGATGTACAGGACGTTTAGTCCTAGTTCTGAAGATAAAAGTCACGAAGAGCGCAGGTCCGGACTGCGAAGGAACTGTTGAGGAAGAGAGATTGTGGCTGGACCATTTGAAAGCTTTTGCTAACCTACTTCTCTAAGAGGTTTTTAAAAATATCTATTACGTATTATGCCCGGTTATCTCAGCGACTTTCTTTTGTGATCAACGGGTCGCTCAGATCTATGACGAAACCAGCATCCACGAGGTCACTGAATCACTCGTGCTTTCTCCGATCGAAGCGATGAAGTTTGTTTCCTAGGAATAACTTCCGTGGTGCGTTATCTAACGGCTGAACAAACAGCTTTCTAGGCAACTTGCTCTCGTCGCGTGCTGCTAGAGATTCTTACTAGCGTGTGCAACTCTCCGGCAGAAGGCACGTGCATTTTGAAGGCGACCGGCAGACAGACTTCCAGGTAGGTGCCGTTCAGCTGACGAAGCCCGACGCTTGCCGTCTCGTATCTGCGGGCGGTTGACAAATTAGAGACGAAGGTATCTTCTGGCACGTCGCACCGCGTAGTCTCGTACAAATTTACTGACGTTTCAGAGGCGGTTACTGTCCCTGGCAGTAAGCGCCTCTGAAACGTCGTTGACTGCACGACGCCCACCTCACAAGACAGTCATCTTCATACTCGCTGCCATGAGAACCTGAAATCTCACCTAAATCATGAATGTTATCGAATGAGACGAGAACATAATTATTAATATATGAGGGTAAAAGGAAAGCATCGGGAAGGAAACTGTCATGGACGTTGACCTGGTGCTGCTGGTATGAATAGGAAGTCGACAGAAACGTCGTTGACGGTGATGCTTCCGGTTTGGATTTGAACCTCGCAGATACCCGCCCGATTGAGACATAACTTAAACGTTTGGAACATTGTAACCGTAAGGAATTTATATATTTTTTTAAAAAAATAAATATGCAGTTTAGTCTTGAAAGAAATCTTCATTAAAAATAATTTTATTTTACGAAACACAAATTTGTCTCTTATTGCGTAAGAGTGCTTAGTAAATTATTTATGAATCGTTTTGAAATATGAGGGGTTGTGGTCGATAGTGAGGCAACAAATCGGGTTCACGTTTAGATTTACCGTAGTCCTTATTCTTTACCATCTGGGCGCTTGAGGGGGGGGGGAAGGTATTCATTCTTAATTTTGGCACTAGATACTAATATAGGCCTACTATCAGTCTGTGTTTGGTATAACCGCAGTACCAAGTTTCATTGAGATCCGTCCAGTAGTTTTGGAGACGACAGACAGACAGACAGACATACGACCTTGTCACTTTGAGCTAATGTCATGAGTTTTGTGCAAATAACTCACGAACGTCTTATTATATCCATCGTGATTTGCAGCAGTGCGTATAAGTCCGAGGATTAGTTAGATCAAGTTAAGTTGGAATAGGTTATGTTATGTTAGGTTAGGTTCAGTTAGGTTAGGTTATGTTAGGTTAGGTTATGTTGGGTTAGGTTAGGTTATGTTCAGTTAGGTTATGTTAGGTTGGGTTAGGTTATGTTCAGTTAGGTTAGGTTAGGTTTGGTTAAGTTGTAAATGTGTGCATTGAAAGAGTTCTGACTTGAGATGGAGCTTGTGCCTGTCGTCTGTTGCAGCGGGATGTGGTTCTCCAGCAGACGCAGTGACAGTGACGCACGGTTGGACGGCAAGGTGGCCGTCATCACAGGTGCCAACTGCGGCATCGGCAAGGAGACGGCACTGGACTTTGTGCGGAGAGGTAAGGAGGGCGGGACGCGATGCACCTCATAGCCATTCTGACGTGCTGAGTGCTGTAGGTGCCCGACTACAAAAACTGGCGGTTTCCTCGTCTCTCTCCGATCATTCGACGCTTAAGATGGGGCAGTATTTAAATAATTTCCTGCATGGAAGTAGAATATTTTTGTAACATCTGTCAAGGCATGGCTTCTACGCTGTTCTCACCCCTTAAGATCGCACTTACTATAGGCTCCTGTAATTATTGTTGAAGTTCTTCCGGGTTTCACGAAAAAAGGTTATCTCTCACGTGCATTGCTGGCCAGCTATGTAAACAGTAGAATGACTGACTGTTTCTTCAGCTTGCTTTCGGTCTCCAATGGCAGGTGCTCGCGTCGTCATCGCATGTCGGGACCTGAAGAAGGCCGAACGAGCTGCAGACGACATCCGACGTGACACGAGCGAAGTGAAGGACGCTGGTCACGTGGTGGTGGCCCGGCTTGACCTGTCCTCACTGGCCTCGGTGAGGCAGTGCGCCCAGCACCTTCTGCAGACCGAGCACTCCGTCAACATACTTGTCAACAATGCCGGTATGTGGCCCTCATATTCTGACTCCCGTCGCACCACCGCCTTGGTTTTGGTCTGGTCATTACGTCTTTCTGACATGGTGGTCCAGAAATTGTCTGCGTAATCTACTCCATTGTAAGTTGTGGTTTCATATTTGTGAGCCGTGTAGTCTTGTGTGTGGTTTCTGATGTTTCGGAGGAATGCATCGCCTCCATCTTCAGGGTTGAACCCTGACGCACAACCAGTATGTTCAAAGCCTTCAGAACCTCATATCTCACTATGATCTCCTTCACATATTCTCTGTTTCTTTCAAGTTTATTGGAGAATATTTCTGTGTGTGGTTTGTGGAGGAAAATGGAGTAGCGCAAAACACATGTAATCAACATTTTGACTTCTCCTAATTAGGAAGCCATCATTCTAAACATATTTTCTGTTCCTGATTGCTTGAGTCTCAGCACGATATACAGGGTAAGTGATGCGATAAATGTTTCATGTACGCAGTTGTAAAATCATTGAGATCCCATTCGGTAACCAAGCTCTTGAAAACTGGGTACAAATTTGCATTTGCCTCCCCATGCAGAAATATTGGGTTTGCTCTTTCAGGCAGTGGTTAATTTTTGGGGACTGAGAAGGAGAGAGGTTTTAAAATTTATTTAGATTTGATTTTATACACTACTTGCATTAAATAAATAAAATTAATACGTAATAGGGAAGTAATTTCAGGCGTGAAGTGCAGTTGGCTCTTATAGTTTTAAACATGTCTGCTGTCTTAACACTTATAATTACATGGTGTAATAATTAAACTGTTAATTGTTTTTACAACAACAGATATGCAAATAGCCATAGAAGTCAAAGATTTGTTAAGAATTGCAAGGAAAATATTTTTGTAAAAATGGAGTTCACTTTTCATTCATGTTTTATATGAATTCATCAAATTCGAGGTGATCAGCCGCAAGATTTGTTTCACAGGCGTGTGCTACTATCCGAAGGCTTACACAGAGAATGGCTTTGAGATGCATATTGGCGTGAACCATCTGGGTCACTTCCTGTTCACTTGTCTTCTGTTACCCCGCATTATTCGTTCGGCACCTGCCAGGATCATCACTGTCTCCTCTTACAAGAACTGTTTAGGTCTGTATCCATCGCGACCTCACACAGTTGACCTCTGCTTTACAAGGTTAGGTTAGGGTTCATGTAGTACTAAGTGAAATAAGTGGCCGCTAATTTGGTCATCTTTAACAAACAGTGATAAAGAAGATGACTGTCAGGGTTAGTGTGTATCTAATGAGATGTCGTCCTTGAGGACACATGATGCAACATGGCATGACGATGTACGCACTTTGCTATTGTACGTAACAATTTGTATGACACCTAGTGAAATAACACATACATGTGATTTAATAAAAGATGAATTCATATGCAGGAAATCCACACGTATCCTGCGTAGTTAAAGGAATCTGCACGACGCTGAACCCTGGCACTTGATATGTGGTTTCATTTTTCCATCTGAACAGACCCTTAGTGACTATTCCCCTGCTGGTTGCGCAGTCTCGAATTAGGTTAATTGTTATTATCATCAGTTTAGAATAAAATATCATGTCAAAATTTCCTTAGTGATATGCACTCTCAGTGTAAATAATTCACACTTGAGTAAGTCAGCACAAATTGTGTACACTCTTTGATGTGTCTGCTTGGTTCCAGGACTGTGTTTATATTCTTAAAGGAAGGAAAAGAGAGTTATCTTATTCACAAATAATTTATTTGAAAAAATGTATAGAAAGTGCATACTTGTAAGTAGATATGCTGACGTTGTGGTTCTGTCCAGCTGAAGGCATCTGTCTGAACGACCTGCACTGGGAGAGAAGGCCGTACAGTGCCTTTGATGCGTATTCTGAATCGAAGCTGGCCAACATACTATTCAGTGTGGAGCTTGCCAGGAGGCTCAAAGGTAATAAACAGTATTGAACTCCATAATTATAATAATATTTAGAAATGCAGTTTCTGTTTTAACAAAAACACAGCACATCTCTTTTGCAAAGTTGCTGTTTAAGGAAATAATAACAATTTGCTCTGAGAACCATACAAAACCCATAAATATAAAGTAAAATACAAAATCATTTAATATGAAAGCAGGCGATATGTATAGTTACCACTGAGCTTTGAAAGGGAAATTTGTTTAACTGACACTCCGAATACCGCAAGATTGCAATTTATTTATTTATTTATTTATTTTGTTTTTGAGATGCAATCTCTTGGCTCATGCCATGTTTCTACCACTTTCTTCTTACCCAGTAACTAATTGGTTGTTTGGTTGGTAATTCAGTCGGTCTGTTAATGTGTGAGTTATCCAAACAATCAGATCTCTTAATAAGTCAATGAGGCATTCAGACACTGAATTATTGCTCAATCGGTAAATCAACAACATTGAAAATGCTTAGTCTTTGAAGGTGTTCATCATCCAACATCAAAGGTAAAAGTTGTGCCAAATGCCTTTGTTGCAATAATGTGATATGAGGTTATTTTTGCAACGTTGTGAGCCAAGAATGACCTGGTTCACACTTTTGAGCAATACATTCAAGCAGTGAACGAAGTTCTCATGGCTACAGCAGTGTGCCAAAAGAATGATTGCATTTAAATTGTTGCAATATTGTGCTCCATCAATGGCCTTTGGTCATTCGGGTTCCCTAGTTCCCAGGAAAGACACCGCAGTCAGACATATAGAAAGACAGACAGACATGGATGAGCCCATAAGGCGTTATTCGGAGTGTCAGTGGCTCAAACTGCCATTGTGGGGGAAAATTACCAAGCCCTTGCCGTTGTGCTCAGGGCTGGGCGTCACCACATATGCGGTCCATCCCGGAGTCGTTGCTACCGAGGCCGCACGCTACGCGAATGACTCGTTCTTCTCAGGTGCACAGTGGTTGTTTGAAAATGTCCTTATATATTTTATCAAGACACCACGGCAGGGTGCGCAAACTACGATCCACTGTGCTGTGTCAGAGGAGGCGGGGGGCGAGACTGGACTCTACTACAGGTATGTATTCTGGTAATAACTGACAGTAATGAGATGCAAGCTATCCTTTTCTGTTTCCCATTTTTACATCTCTGTGTTTCAGTCTGTTTTTGAGTTACAGCAGTACTTTTTAAACACAAAATGGATACACAAACAGTTTCAAAATAAATTCTATGTTTTGTAAGTTTTATCTTTTTACCACAAATATTGTGTCTTCAAAACTTGTGACAGGGACTGCAAGAAGGGCCGACCAAATCCCTTAGCTTTCAACACGAAGCTGGCAGTAGATCTGTGGGACAAGAGTGCCAGACTGGTGGGAATGCGGTCCTGGGATCCCTTCACTGCGTGGGATACAACTTCCAGGATACTGTGCGAAGATTCCAAAGGGTCAAGGCAACTCTGAAGACTCAGTATTTTGAAACAAGTGGTGTTACGTTTTTGTAGGGTGTTGAAAGACAAGACCTTGTGCTCTAAACACACCAGGCCACAATATTCTTAAAAGTGTGAAAAGAACTTCCAGTGGAATGATGCATTTTAAGGTTTCAACAAATTTGTCTTGGTTGTTTTGAAACTACTCATGATGGATGTAATTTCCAAAAATGACAATCAAGTTATAGCCCTCATATTTTGATGCCTGGTCGCTAATAATATCAATATTTATATCACTAGATTAAACAAACGTGCACTTTTCTTTTTTCACAGAACACCACACATTTAAAATTCTAGTTGGAGAGATGAAATGACCAAACACAGAGTAGAGACAATATATTTCTTCACAAGCTGTTTTATTCTACTGTGGTAATGGCAACACATACCAAGCAAATTGATGATGATCTTTGAGAAGACTGTACATGAGACTGTGACAAGCCTCTAGACCTAAGGAAGGCGAATGAAGATGATGTACATTTAATAAGACACATAACAATATCCATTTAGATGTTTTCAAGTGAGTGCATGCACAAAAAAATTTAACTTTGTAGCGCTTAGTAAAGGTTTCTGATACCACATTTTCTTCAAATCCATCATCTGGATTAAGAGCTGGAAAGTGTGACATGCGTCAGGTATGAGCTTAATAAAATCACCAAGATTTCACAGTGATTTATGTTCTATAACCATTATGTGATTAAATACTTCAGTTGAATTCACCAGACAAACAATGATCTACTCAGAAATTTACATTCCTACTTAATTTACATTTGACTTACTCAGTGATGATTGCACAGTTGCTGCTGCTGTAGTTCAGCTGTTGATTGTGTTTAAATATTAGTTTAATTTGTTGTTTCGGTTTCAGTTGTTTCAGGTTCAGTTGTTTTGGGCTCAGTTGTTTCAGGTTCAGTTGTTTTGGGCTCAGTTGTTTCAGGTTCAGTTGTTTTGGGCTTGGTTGTTGTTTCAGGATTGATTGTTGATGTTTCAGGTTTTATTGTTGTTGTTGATTGTGGAATGTCAGTAACTTCCCAGTGTATTTGACCGTCCCCTTTACTGCACAGATCAAGCTGTAAATCCGTGATTTCCAGAATTTGGTTTCCTTCTGCGACAGCGCAGCTTGCTCCAGTGTTGAAGCTACTGCTGACATTCAGACATGCTGTCATGTTAAGTCCATATACTGATATATTCTCCAGGGTAGAAGAGGAGGTTGTGTTGACACACACACTCTGGAAGCTCAGTTCACGTTCAGTGGCACTGAAGGTGAATTTGATGTTGGAATCCACCGTAAGATCACCGAATGCACTACATGTGCCATTTTCATTGCATTTAAGACCGACAACTAAGTTGTAAGGGCCTGAGAGAGTTTCACTGACGGTTGGCTTCGCTTTCTGTAACAGTACAACAGGTATATTACAAGCATCTCCTAATATGCTGATGATATGGCACTTCCAGCTCAAAGCTTCTGGCCAACACCAGTGCAAGACAAAATTAGTGGATATGGTATATGACTTCTGGCAGTGGTTAATTCTGGCCACCACAGCCCCTTCAGATGAATGCCATGTTGTTACCATAATCTTGTCATCCATGTGTCTCATTTGGAACTAAACGATATCTGCAGGTAAATGTATGTATGAGAATTTAAAAATATTGCTTTAAACTAAGTAAAGATACTAACACCATGCACAAGTCACTTACTCTGTCATGGTTTTCCATGCCCTCATTTGTGATCACTAAATGCCTCACTTGTAGAAAAAGCCAGAATTAAGATAGATTGGACTTTAGAATACTCATTTCATCTCAAACTATTCAGCACTAAATAACATCTGCAACTGTTGCAGCATCATTAAATAGACTCAACTCAATAAATATCTTCAGTCTGCATGATTGTCCAGTAAACACTAAATCAACTGTGCAAAATGAACTGCCGTAGGTTAAGCATCTCACCTGCACTGGCACAATGAAGCCACCTCTTAGCAGAAGCACCAACTCCTTGTCTAGGCTCGTGACACCGACTGTTACCTCCCCTGTGCCATTGTTCACTTTATGACCCCCTCCAAAATGGTACCAAGTTGTGTTCTCATTTGGAAGGTACACAGGCACTGAAACTGCATTCTTGTAAAAGGCAGGACGAACCAGAAGTGCTGGGCCAACCATGAATTGCTCATTTTCTGTCCATGTCTTATTGTCACTTGGGAAATCAAAAAACATGGGTCTTGCGATCGGAACCCCTTCGCTGCTTGCGTTATGGAAGAGGGAGTAAAAGTATGCCAGCAGCGAGTACCTCAAGGCCAGGGCCCTCTTTACGGCCTCACGAGCATACCCAAATTTGAGGTTCACTGGGTCTCGTAGAGGCATCTCAGATGATACGCGCATTAAAGGAAGCATGGAACTCATGAGATACCATCTGCAGACAAATGAAGAACATGTAAGACTTGAGGTTCTCACAGGACAAATGAAGAACAGTACGTGTAGTTTATTTTACTTTGTAATGTGATATATGAAGTCTTGTTTTTAACTACTTTTCGTCACACAAAAAATATGTGCAAGCCACAGAAGGCGCAGGTCCTCTGCAGGTTGAGAATCTGAGTGAAATGAATGAGTCACTAAGGTGAGCTGGAATGAATTAATCAGATCTTGGGGGATAAACCAGTTTTGCCCATCTGTGAACCTTGCTGGTATGTGTTTGTGATTATTCAACCAACCTGATACAGAGCTCGTCGTCGTAGCTACCCGTCGTGCCACAGACAGAACCCCCGCCTGCCAGTGGGATTCCTGCTAATCCTTGACCCAGTGCCATCTCCAGAGCATCCTTCATGTTACTCCACGTGCATGCCACATCGGCTTGCGTGTGTGCGTGGCTTCCGCCCACAGTGCCGCTCCCTGTGTATGTGGCTGCAGTTAGCACTAGATGTTTCTCTAGCTGCAGACTGGATGCAACCGATTTGGCATTCTGCAGGCTGTATTTGTTGTGCAGCTTGTAATGGGGTGTGCTTCCGTGGCGGACCTCCCACCACAGTGTTCCGCGTGACAATGTGCCCTGCACGGTGTAAAGAATCTAAATGTAATACCCGATGGCACAATGATCATTACGTGTAATACTGGAGAGTATATCAGCATTTTGCTCTTATGCTGTAGGCTTAGTGATTTGCTTGTGAATCTAGGTTCGTCACTAATCAACAAAATTTCCTGACCTGGGTAGAGCACCAAAAGCGTAAGTTTCATTCCACCTTTTAGTCAACTGCCATTGTCTTCAGAAGCCGTTATTGTTACTCGCTGAAATCAAACTAACCTCTGGCACATACACCATGTTCTCTGTCTTATCCTCCGTGGTGTTGACGGCGGGCCAATTGTCCTGCAGCACGAAACCTCCCACAACATCTTCTCTTCCTGTCATCAGATTGTTCAGGTTTTCTCTAAACCATGTTCCTGTTACCTCATTGAAGAAGTCTGGGTAAGAAACATTCAGGCTGTGATACTCTTGTGAAAGCACCTGCTGATCCTCGGTCAATACGAACAGCTCGTCAATTGTCACCAGGGATGAATTTACCTGCAA